TGGATTTTTAGTAGAGACGGGTTTCACCATGTTGGCCAGGCTAGTCTCGAACTCCTGACCTCAGGTGATCCACCCGCTTCGGCCGCCCAAAGTGCTGAGATTACAGGCGTGAGCCGCTGGGCCCAGCCCAAAGTCACTTTCATTGGCTACAGTCAACGTGGTGAAGGCCAGGCTCTGGGGAGAGGCCACCCTTGGCCGTTTCAGCTCCTCGCAGCCACACCACGGCCCTCGCGGCCCGGCCTCTGCTTCCACAGTCACTTCTCTCACCTCCAGTCCGGCCTCCCTCATCCGAAGACCCTCAGGATGACCCTGGCTCACCTGGCGATCCGAGCCAACGGCCCCACTGCCAGTCTTTACCTCTATCCCTGCAAAGTCCCTTTTGCCACGTAAGGCGCCCAGAGTGGACAGCTCTAACAGCCATCATTCTGCGTACACCAGATGTCCTCTTACCGAATCGGGGTCAATTTGAGAATCAAACTAAACAATTATAGTAACACATTACAGCTCACTGGAATGAAAAAGAGCTAAGTGTGAGACAAAGAAATGGGAATGATAGTGTCTTGAACGCTGGTATAAAAAAGTGGGGGTGAAGGCCCTGCCCTCCCTCACGGCAGAATGCTGCCCAGGAGACGCAGCAGGAGCAGTAGAGTCACCAGCCGGGCTGGGTGACACGTCTGACACCCCCAGAATCCCCACTACGCAGGAGGCCGGGTAGGGAGGACTGCTTGAGGCGAGGAGTTCACGGCTGCAGTGAGCTGTGATCATACCACTGCATTCCCGCCTGGACAACACAGTGAGACCCCACCTCTAAAACAAACACAAAGAAATAGAGTCACCCTCAGGGGGTCCTGGGGTGGCCGACTCAGCACCAGTGGACAGAGGATTCATGGGCGGCGATGATTCTGGTGCATTTTACCCCCCGTGGGTGAGGCCCCGGTTCCTTGCATGGACAGTGGTGTTGGGAAGCCACAGGCATCGTCCAGCCCAGCTGCAGAGGAGGCAGGGCTGCCCACAGCCTCAGCAGTACCACAGAGGGCCAGGGCACTGGCAGGGGTCACCAGAGTTGAGGGGTCTGCTTTGAAGTGACCTTCCAGTTCTTCTCGCTTCGACTCTCCTAAGGCCTGGGAGAGGACCAGGGACTGCATGGCCAGGCTGGGCTTGGAAGAGCCTGGGGGGCGCCGTGCAGTGTGTGCGGTAGCAGAGGGTTGAAGCGTGGGAGGCTGGATTAAATGGGCTTTCAAGAAGTTTCAGAAACAAAGCCACGTGCAACTGTATCTTCCTGGCATGAGTTTCCAGGCTGAGTGAGGTCCCAGGTGCCCCTTGTCGCGTCTGGGAAGAGGCGGGCACTAAAGAGAAGGACAGGCTAGCAGACCCCACAGAGGCCCCCCCACCTGCTGGCATGGGCTGGTCCTAAGGAGATAAGTGGGGCCTCCTGCGTGGCTCGTGGAGGGGCAAGCAGGGCAGTGGAGCCAACAGGGCCGGGCCACGCTGTGGGTGTCTGTAGCATCCCAGAGCCTCAGTGTTCATCCTGTAAAATATGGATGACGATACCGCCCGAGCAAGCCTGTAGTGGGGACTGAGCAATGGGATGTGTGTGCATGTGTGCATTCCTGTGTGTGTGCCAGGGTATGTGTGTGCGCATGTGTGCATGTGTGTGTGCACGTGTGGGTATGCATGCATGTGTGTGCATGTGTGAGCATGCATGTGTGTGTAAGTGTGGCTATGCACGTGTGTGTATGCACATGTGCGTGTGTGTGCACATATGTGAGCATGCATGAGTGCGTGGGTATGTACGCACGCATCTGTGTGCACGTGTGTGGGTGTGTATGCATGCATAGGCATGTGTGCACGTGTGGGCATGAATCTTCCTGTGTTGTGGCCTGTGTACAGTGTGTCTGTTCACATGGTCACAATATGGTTGCATGCATGTGATGTGTACATGTATGTTTTGTGTGTTTTTAATGCATGCACACATGTGGGCATGTATGTGTGCTGCATTGTTACAACAGGTATCATGGTGCCCAGGGCACTCGGCCTGGCCCTGGGGATCTGGGGTCAGAGCCTAGTCTGTCTTACAAGCTGACAGCCAGCGAGCCCAGGCAGCAGGTGGCTCCGTGCTGAGGAGGGCACAGAGAAGGCTCTGGGAGTGCAGAGGTGTCTGGCGTGCTTGTCTGAGGGCGCCAGGGCCAAGAGCTGGTGGGCCTAAGGGAGGCATCAGTCTGCGGCCAAGAGGCTGTGGGACCCTCCTCCTCTGCCCGGGGACAGGGCCCGGGCTCGCTGGTGTCCTGGACAAGCCACCTCACTTCCATGGACCCCAGTGCCCTCATCTGCAAAGTGGGGTGGTAGTGATTCTTTCTCCCTTCCCTCCTTCCCTTCCGTTCCCTTCTTCCTTTCCCTTCCCTGTCCTCCCTCTCTTCCCTTCTCTTCCCTCCCTCCCCTTCCCTCCCCTCTCCTTCCCTCCCCTCTCCTCCCTTCCCTTCCCTTCCTTCAAGGCAGAATCTCACTCTGTCACCCAGGCTGGACTGCAGTGGCGCAGTCTCTGTTCACTGCAACCTCTGCCTCCTGGGTTTGAGCAATTCTTTGCCTCAGCCTCCTGTGTAGCTGGGATGACAGGCTCACGCCACCATGCCTGGCTAATTTCTGTCTTTTTAGTAGAGACAGGGTTTCACCGTGTTGGCCAGGCTGGTCTCGAACTCCTGACCTCAGGTGATCCATCTGCCTTGGCCTCCCAAAGTGCTGGGATTACAGGCATGAGCCATCATGCCCAAGTGGTTCCGATGAGGGTTTCTGGGTGGAGCTTGGGACAGCTGCTCTGACCCTTCGATGGGGGCTGCTGTGGTCTCTGCCGCTCTGGGCACTGGTGGGGCTCCAGAAACTGACCACTTCCGTGGATTTGGAAAACTCGGGGCACCATCTCTCCTGTGCTGTGCAACCCTCTGGCTCTGGCTGGCTTGTGTGGCTATCCCTCACCCCTCCACAGCCACCTTCAGGGACATGGCCCTGAGCTCACTCGCAGGCCTGCTTGGTGCCCCTGCCCACCTCCACCCTCCACTGAGTCAGCACGTGCTGCTGAATGACCCCCCATGGCCGCCAGCGCTGGGACCTGGGCCTTAAGATGTGAGAGGAGACTCATGGGAGGGCTGCGCCCCTGGGCCAGCTACCTCAATGCAGGGAAGGACCAGGGAGGGGATGGGTCATGGGAGGGAGGGGAGCCCAGGGTGGCTGAGGTGGTGTCTGAAGGGGAGGTCGAGGGGGAGGCTGAGGTCCAGCCCCTTACGGCAGCTCCATGCCCAGCAGATGGACTGTCCAGCCACAAGGCCACAGATGGGCTCCTTCACTAGCCAGTGTGTCCCACAAGGGAAGGGCCCACCAGGAGAAGGGCCCAGGAGGGTGTGGGCGAAGGTGGCAGAGGGGAGTGGACTGCTGCCAGGCAGGCACCAGAGGGAGCCTGGGAGACAGGTGCCATGGCGACCCGCAGTCCTGAGGGCGGGCGCTGGCTGCTCTGGGGGGTGGGGCCTGCTGAGTGCCACGTGAGTCCTGTCTGCGTTCCTGCCGTTTGGACGTGAGAATGCAGGGGGGCTTACGCAGTGTGCGGGCTGTCCTCACACGCATGTACACGTATGCACACACCCATACACCCTGAAAACCTGGCCCGGGACAACTGCATGGCCGGAGCACGGCCCCACCTGTCGGGTCTTCTCCACTCATGGCAGAGCTGGTTTCCTGCCCCGGTGACCCGGGTATTGCTTTGCTGGCTGCCTCTGCCCCGCCATCCCTACAGCCCTGTCTGGTCCTCCCTCCAAGCCACCCCGGGTCCCTCTTCCCTGTGTGTGGGTATGGGAACAACTTGGAGACCTGCACAGGAAGCCCAGGCTGCATTTACCATCTTAGCTCACACCACCTCCAGGCAGCCTTCCTGGATGCCCCAGTAGCCTGCAGCCCTGGCAGAGCACACTAGGTCAGCTGGGCCGCCTTGGGCAGCCAGGTCCCCGTGCACCCTGTTTCCTGGCTTGTCCAGTGGGGTAGGAATGACCACCCCTGGGGGTGTGCTGGGCCAGGTGATGGGGTCTGGAGGGGTATTGGGAACTGAGAAGTTGCAGGTGCTCAGTGGCAAGAGACACTTGGGGTGGCTGGGCAGACAGCTCTTGGGGAAGGGCACGGATTGGAGCTGGACGGGGCTGGGGGGCAGGGCAGGCTTAGGGGATGGAGCCACCAGCTCAGTGTGCCCTCCGCTGTCCGGGGGACAGGCAGGCTGGCCCCCACCATGCCACCCTGTGGGCAGTAGAGGGAGCGAGCTTCCTCGCAGCCTGGCTCAGCTCGGGTGTCCTAATTTGGAAGTGGGGCTTGGCTCAACACGTGGGCACTGGGGGCGTGCTGTGCCGTCAGTCTCCCTCGGGGATGAGGAGCTCTGTGGACCAGCAGCTGCAGAAGAGGGTTCCCCCAAGGTCCTCAGGACAGAAACAGCACCAGAGCGGCGTGGCGGTGGGTTTGGCAAGGGGATGGCTTGGAGGCACCAGGTGGCATGTGGAGCCCTGCTGCCCGCCACAGGCAGCACCACCTTCTCAGGGACAGCAGGGTCCCCGCCCCTCAGAGGCTGGAAGGGCCTTTGGCTTCCACTGTTCAGAGTCCGGCCCATGGCCAGCGCCAGCACTGTGGTCTCCCGTGTCTGACAGAGAGAGAGTCCGTGTCCCCCTCCCAGACCCAGAGGAGCAATGTGGGGCGACCAGGATTTGGGAGGGAGATGGGGTCCCCTGCAGTCCTGACCTCTCAGAGGGGTGTCCATGACCCCAGAATTGGGAGCTGGGCACTCTGCCAACCCCATATCCCACTGGTGAGGCCAGAGCAGTGTCCAGTGTCCAGAGGACGGCAGGCTCTGGCCACCCACGGGCCACACTGGGGTGAAGGGTCAGGGTGCTGAGGCCCAGCCCGTGCTGCAGCAAATCCAGGCTGGGCTGCGGAGCGCGGAGCAGGGCCGCCCTCACCGAGCTGCTGTCCCGCAGACGGCGCCCCGCTCAGCGAGCTGTCCTGGCTGTCCTCCCTCGCCGTGGTGGCTGTGTCTTTCTCCGGGCTCTTTGCTGTCATCGTCCTCATGCTGGCCTGCCTGTGCTGTAAGAAGGGCGGCATCGGGTTCAAGGTGAGGCCTGGGGGCCGTGGGAGCTGGCGGGGCATCTCGTAGCGTCCACCCGACCCTGAGCTTCCCTCCCTCCCGGGGCCACCAAGGTGGCTGCTGGGTGACCGTAGTCAATGTGGGGCCGCCTGGGGACCACATGGACCCTGGCCTAGGAACCCCACAGACCCTCCTCAGGGACCTGCCCCAGCTTCTCCGACTCTGAGGCCCTCTGTGAGGGTGGCCTGATGCTCCCCCGAAGCCTGGGGTTGGGCCTGTGAGCACGCGCAGAGGCTGAGGATGGCCTTGCTGGGGCGTCGGGCTCTGGAGCTGGTGTGGGAGGGGCTGGTCTCCCTAGAGGCCCCTGGCTCCTGGTGGGGGGGTTGCCCCTGCAGGGCCCTCACCGCCCTGCTGACGTAATCCACAAAGGGAAGCCCAGGCTGCCCAGACAAGCTTCCCGGTACGGAGATCACCTCACCACTTAGAGTCACCTTGCCCAGGGCATCTTGTGCCCTCTGGAGGGACACTGTGGGCTGCTGGAGCCCAGCCTGCTGGTTAGGGAGCTTTGCCAAGTGCACGGCCTGGCCTCACAAGGCTGCCCCTCTGGAGGCTGAGGCTCAGGGCCAAGACCCCCGCCAGGGACATGTGCCAAACACTGCCCCCCGCCCACAGACCCCACCCCACCTCCAGCGGTAAGTCTGAGTACCAGGGAGGGCCAGGCGGAAACGCTCTGTGCTAAGAACCCAGCCAGCACCGCCCACCCTGCCCGGAGCCTCCACGGGTCCCATTCCTGCTGATGAGCAAATGACCGCAGCCTGGACCTCTGGTTGTCCACATGCCCACGGGGGTCAGCCCCACCCCTGGGCCAAGGTCAGATTCCCACTCAAGGAGAGGTCAGGGTGGGGGGAGGCGTTTGCAGTACGCACAGCGCTTCCACTGTCCGTATTTCAGGGGCGCCTTCCCACTAGGTGACCCGTGTCCCGGCCACGTCACCCCCATTTTAGAGACAGTCGGAGTCCTCCCTGTCCTGGTATGTCATGACGCAGAGTGGGCCAGGGGAGCTGGCCCTGCCCACTACCCGGGCAGGTGAGGCTGCTGAACTCGGCCTCTGCCTTTTCCAAAGCCCACATTTGTGGCCCGTTCGCCCTTCCAGAGCCCTCTGAGGTGCCCAGGCCCCGTCAACCAGTGAGGAGCTGTGTGCCTGGGTGGCAAAGCTGTGGCCCCAGGAGCTACGGGGCATGCGCTCCTGCCCAGAGCCCCCACTCTGCCCTGGGGACGTGCCCCTGACCCGCTGGCACCAGGGTCTGGGCCAGGCAGCACTGGCGCCTTCCTGGGATCCTGAGACCAGAGCCTCCAGGTCTGGGGGGGCAGGAGTGCAGGCGGCCTGGGAGGGTCGTGTGGGGCTATTGTGTAAGCGGCTCCTCCTCGGGAGCTGTGAGAACAAGGCGCCACACAAGTGCTGGACACAGCCCCTCCTCCGGCGCCCTCTCACCTCCTTCGGAACATGGTGCCCGGAACATTCCAGCACCAGCGTGCCCCCGGCAAGGCCTGCCTCCACACTGGGCTCCCTCCTGGGCTCTAGGGGGCTGTGCCGGGCTCCCTGGTGGGGAGCCCCAATGCTGACCCTGTGCTACCTGATTGCACGCTGTGTCGGCAGGACCCGGGTGGCCCCCGGGCAGCAGGTAATGCCTGGAGCCAGGGCCTGACCCCAGGGAGAGACGGCGTCTGTGTCCTGGGTCCCTCCACAGAGCCCAGATGGGTGGGGGCAGGCTGGGGCTGGGATCGGAGGATCAAAATGGGGCCTCCTAGGGTGGTGTCCTGGGTCCTGGGGAGGAAGAGTTGCCCACAGAGCAGCGGCATCCTCCATCCCCGAGTGGCTGTGTGCTTGAGAGCACAGGCTGGGCCCAGCCCCTCAGGACACTGATAGAGCTGCCCACCCCTCTCCCTGCAGCCCAGGGAGGGACGATGTCCCCAGGGTCCCAGTAGTGTGTGAGGAGCTGTGGCCTCCCTCCCTCTGAACCTGCCAGTCCTCGGACTCCCCAGTCCGGGGGGTGGCCAGGCTCCATCGGGAAGCCCCTTGACCCCTCTGAGCCTCAGTTTCCCCACAGTGGGGGTTGTGGGGAGGAGCAGAGAGGCTGTACTGAGTGCTCAGGGACGGGGCTGTCCCTGCGTGCAGGGAGCCATTGTTTTTAGTTGCACCCAGGACTTCAGAGAGTTTGGCTCTCAGCGGAGGAATGTGCTTTGGACTTAGGGGTGGGGTCTCCCTAGACAGGTGCAGCCTCTGCATTTCAAAATAGCAGCCTGGCAGGGATGGCCCAGCCCTAGGCTGCACAGAGACAGGCTCTTAAGGAGGCCTGGGGGCTCGGGAGGTGGTGCGGCCGCCAGGGTGGATGGCGCTGGCAGGTGGGCTGCCCAGGGTGAAGGTGGCCGGTGGGCTTTTGGCTCCCAGGCACCCAGGAATGCTCCTTTTCTTAGCAGGGGTGGGGGCACTTGGTGGCTTCTCCTGGCTTCTCCCACAGGACTATGGGGCAGGGGGTGCTGGAGCTCCTGTCCTGAAGCTGCCCCATGGGAGGGTGGGACCCAAGGCAGGGCCTGGAGTGAGGTGTTGCTGGGGACGAGGGTGGGAGAGAGGGGTTGGGGGCTGATTCTGGACGGGCAAGGCCAGCTAGCCCCATCCTCTCATCTCTGTCCCTTGGTTCCCTGCCCGTAGGCCCTTGGGCCTCAAGGTGGGGCTCAGCCTGGGCTGCCCACCAGGTAGGGATGGAGAAACTGAGGCCAGCCGAAGCGCTCGTGCCTACAGCTCGTCGCGCCCTTTCTGGAGTCTGAGTTGGGTCCTCTGGGCTCTGGGATCTGCCCCTGGCACCTCATGGGATAGCTGTGCCCCTGGTGGGGGGTGTGGGGGTCAGCGAGGGGAGACAGAGGGGAGGGCAGTTAGCAGGAGTGCTGGCCCGTTGGCTCACAGGGGTGGGGGGCTCCACCTCTGGGCTGAGCACCGGTCCTGCACCGCCCTGGGAGCTCAGCCCTGGAAGAAAGGGACCTTTCCAAGCCCAGCCACACCCTTCCTTGGCCTTCGGGAAGCCCGGCTCATGCTGCCTGGCCCGGCCTGCAGGAGTTTGAGAATGTGGAGGGGGACGAGTATTCGGCCGACCTGGCACAGGGCTCCCCGGCCACCACGGCACAGAACGGGCCCGACGTGTACGTCCTGCCACTCACGGAGGTGTCCCTGCCCATGGCCAAGCAGCCGGGCCGCTCAGGTGAGTGCCAGGTGGGGAGACGGGGTGCCTCCCTTCAGGGCCCAGGTGCTGGGTGTTGGGTGTGACCTGGGGGAGCCAGGGTGGTCCAAGGACTCAGCTCTGGAGTGGGGGCAGCACAGGGCTTGGGGTGGTGTGTAGGGGTGGACTAGGTGCCCAGCCCTGGATTCCCCATGCTGCGTCCCAGGCTGTCCCGTGAGGCCAAAGGTGCATGTACCTCTTTCTCCTGGGCCTGGGGGGCAGCTGGGGGTTGGCAGGGTCCGGAACAGCCTTCAGCCTCCTGTGCCCGAGGGGCTGCTGTGCACAGGGGCAGTGGTGGGCACTGGGGCAGGAGTGCGGGCTCTCTGGTCCTGGACATGGCCCTGTGCTGGGGGGAGGGGCTCTTCTGCAGTCTGGGGATGCTTGACCCCAGATTCCTGCCCCCTTGATTGCCAGCCCTTAGGGACACGGGCCCCATTGTGCCTGGTGGGAGGAGGGGAATTGGTGGGGTCCCCGCGGGCGGGCAGTGAATGGGCATTTCACTCAGGCTGGAGGAGGGGCAGAGGGGTGGGGCTGACCCCGGACTGCAGGTACAGGTGGCGCCTCTGCCACACCCCCATCTGCCCCCATCGTAGGGTCCCGGGCTGACCACTCGCACAGAGCGGATGTACTAGGGAGCCTGCTGGCAAACCAGGCTTCGGGAACCCCCAGTTCTGTCCTGGAGCCTGGGTGGTGGGCGGGAGTCCCTCCAGAGCCATCGGATCTCAGACCCCTCCCACAAAGCTTCTAGCCTGGGGCCTCACCCTCACTTCCCCGCCAGCTCTTCTGGGTACGCGGAGGCAGGAGGGGTGTCAGGCCAGTGGGAGGGGCCCCTGCTGGCCCCACTGGGGCTCTGCTAGCACCAGGGCCTGCTGCTGTGGAGCCACTCAGCCACCTCACCTGCTCTGAGCTGTGCCTGGCTGGGCCCTGAGAGCCTGGCCTTCACTGGGGGCTGAGTGGCCCAAGACACTGATCTGAGACCTAGAGCGGGCCCCAGCTTCAGGCCCAGGGCCTCCACACCCGTCCTGCTCTGCCCCGTCTCCTGGAGGGCAGGTTTCCCAGTTAGTCAGGAACTGGGGCCGGCACTTGTGGCCTAGCACATCTGTGGCTGGGCGCAGAGACCTGCAGCCACCCACTCAGCGAATGAGGCCGTCTGCCCTTCCTGCGTGGCTGTGGGGGTCCCCGAGCTCTGCGCTGCTCCTGCTGGGAGCTGCTATGGACCACCCAAGGGGGTACTGCCCTTGGGTCCAGGGGCAGGTATGTGCCTGGCCCTGAACACTCTCAGATCCACCTCTGGAGGACTGTCCCTGGGACCGGGGTCGGGGGACAGGGACCCAGAAGAGGACAGTGGCTGTTTCTCCACTTTGGCAGCTCTGGTCTCAGTTTTCTGGGGGCATGTGCTTCTATGAAGGGGAGTCCCACGGTCATGGGGGAGAAGACTGGGCGGTGGCCCCAGCCTCTGGGGACTACAGAGAAGGACGGCCGTCCCCTGCCTCCTGTGGTGCCAGGGCCTCTGTCTCAGCACCCATGGTCAGGGGTCCCTCAGCACACTTGCTCAGGGACGGTGAGGGCCTGGGCGCCCCAGGGTGAGAGGGTGTCCAGACAGGCTGGGCAGAGGATGCAGTGCCCGGTGGGCCCACAGCCTTGGTTATACCCTGTACCGCCTCCACGTTTTCTGGGTCACTGGGCCTGGAAGGAGCCCCCTTCCCTGGGTTCTCCTGGGAGCTGGGCTCAGACATAGCCCCGTCAGCCCTTTGGGCTGTTGGCGTGGGAACAGAATTCGGGGAATCCCTCAGGGCGTAGGCGGGCGTGCGTGGGCTCTGCCAGCGCTGGCCCCTTCCTCCCGGGCCTCACTGACCCTTCCTCCCGCTGACCTCACCCGGCCTGGCCTCAGGGAGAATGGGCCAGTGTGCTCCGTGCGGGGCTGTGCCAAGCAGCCCCCAACAAAGGAGCCTTTGGTGTGCCAGGCGTGGGATGCCAGCCTGTGGCAGGGTGGGGCGGGCCAAGCCAGTGCCCTTCCTGTGCTGTGGCTCCAGCCTCCAGCTCAGCCACACTGCCTGCCCGCCGCAGCCCCTGCGGGTGGGCCCACCTCCACCTGCTGTCTCTTCTGTCCCTGGCCCGGATCTCCCAGTGGCTTCAGGCACCTTCTCCAGACCTACCCAGAAAGATGCCCGGATGGAGGCTGCAGCTCTGTGGCTTTTCTGGGAAGCAGCTGCCCCTGCTCTCAAGAGACCCCGGCTCCTGATGGTGACCCCAAGGTTGCCAACTGGCACTGGGGACTCAGGACAGCTCGCCAGGACTGGCCAAGCGGGCAGTCCCTCCAGGGGCCGGGTGAGGAATTTGGGGGTGCGGAGGCTGCGCGGGGTCCCTGACCCCTTGCTTGGTTACAGTGCAGCTCCTCAAGTCCGCGGACCTGGGCCGGCACAGCCTCCTGTACCTGAAGGAAATCGGCCACGGTTGGTTTGGGAAGGTGCGTGGCCCAGCCGGGAGCTGGTGCTCCAGCCTGGCAGGCGGGAGGGACACGGTACAGGCCCTGGGCCCTGCTGAACCCCTCCCCATGGAGGTCTTCAGGGTCTGGCTGACCCTTTCTCCCTAGGGGGTCCTGGGGTCAGAGGTGCCTGGGTAGGGGCTCTGGGAGGGAGAGGAGCAGCCTCTTGGTCTGGCCTCCCCGATGCCGGCCTAAACGAGACAGCTGGGTCCCTCTTCCTCACTTCAGACCCCCAGAGAGAGAGGGCAGTGGGGGACTTTGGGGGAAGATGAGCACAGAGACTCAGAATATGGCAGCCAGAGGGGTCACGGGGAGAGTCCAGGACCCACGGCCCGCGCAGCAGTGAGTGGAGTGGCGGAGGAGGAGGGGCCGTCCTGCAGGCCGGCCGGGGCGGGTGGGAGAAGAGTAAGGCCTGGAAGCTGGGTTTGCAGAGGCAGAGTGGCCACGAGTGACCGTCCCGCAGGTGTTCCTGGGGGAGGTGAACTCGGGTGTCAGCAGCACCCAGGTGGTGGTGAAAGAGCTGCAGGCCAGCGCCAGCGTGCAGGAGCAGATGCAGTTCCTGGAAGAGGCGCAGCCCTACAGGTGGGAGGCCAGCTGGCACAAAGGCCTCGCAGTCCAACGGTCCCACCCCGCCCCTTCCCTGTACAGCCGCCTCCCCCTGCCCCCCACTCCCCAGTCAGGGGCTGCCTGTCCACTCCCACAGGGCCCTGAAGCACATCAACCTGCTCCAGTGCCTGGCCCAGTGTGCCGAGGTGACGCCCTACCTGCTGGTGATGGAGTTCTGCCCGCTGGTGAGCCGCTGCTGGGGGAATGCTGCGGCCTTTGCTGAGCTGGGTCCCTCCCTTGCCCTGCCAGCGTCTGGTGCCACCCTGTCCCCAGGGGCCTCACATCCTCCCTAAAGCCAAGACCCCGGGATCCTGCGCCACCGCCTTCCAGAGGAGGCCTGGGGGAGACCCAGCCTCACCAGGGAGGGGCTGTGGGGGCTGGGCACAGGACGGGCCTGGGCTGGGGCTCTCTGTGCCCCTGGGGAGCTGCCAGCTGCTTGCCCATGTGCCCTGTGGTACAGAAAGAGCCATCCCAGGCCAGTTGGGGGGCCACCAGCCCACCTGGGCTTGTGTTTGTCACAGGGGCTGGGGCCGGCCACTTTCCCACGCTGCCTAGAGGCCTGGGCCTGCACATTACCCCCCAACTCACCTCCCACCCCTCGCACATACATAGCTCCCGTGCTGAGCGAAGGCTGCCCTCAGCTGGGCTGGGTCCCGGCTGGCTTCCCCCGCAACGGGGGCCCTCCCACACTGGCGTCTGGGCTCCTGACGTCAGCCCTCCCAGGAGCTGGGCTTTCGGCAGGCCAGGGGCTGCTGGCCAACCCTCAGCCACCAGCCCCAGGCTCTGCCAGGCACAGCATCTCGGGCCCTGCATTTCTGTAGCACAGGGCAAGGCACTCCTGCTGCCCAGAGCGGGCTGAGGGGCAGTGTAAAGGAAGCCTTCGGCGAGGGTGCCGGCCACAGGGGGTGCAGGGCACAGGGGTGCCGGCCACAGGGGGTGCAGGGCACGGGGGTGCCGGCCACAGCGGGTGCAGGGCACGGGGGTGCCGGCCACAGCGGGTGCAGGGCACGGGGGCGCTCTGGGCAGCTGCTGTGGGTGGGGGTGGAGGAGTTGGGGAGGTAGGCAGGGACCCTCCAGGGTGGCCAGTCCCCACCCTGCTGGTGACTCTGCCGCACACCCTCTCTGCAGGGGGACCTCAAGGGCTACTTGAGGAGCTGCCGGGTGGCGGAGTCCATGGCGCCGGACCCCCTGACCCTGCAGCGCATGGCCTGCGAGGTGGCCTGCGGTGTCCTGCACCTGCATCGCAACAACTGTGTGCACAGGTGAGGGCGGGCGGGCCGCGCTGGGAAGCCCAAGGCCAGGCCCCTCCCTGTGCCTCGGCCCCTCTCTGGAAGGGAGGGCAGAGGGGCGGGTCCTGCCTCATGGATGTTGCGGGGACTGGCCAGGTCCATCTTATGCAGCTTCAAACGACCACCATGCAGGGGGATTTTATGACATTTTGAATAATTGGGGAGACGATGGTTTGACACCCACTTTGCAGATGTAGATGAAAAAACGGTACTGTCAAGCTGGCCTGTCCTCTGTCCCCGAGGCAGTCAGCCACCACCCTGTGGCCCCACACCAACCCCACGCTCTCCCCCTCGGGCCCCAAAGAGAGGGCTTAGCAGGCCCGGCGTGGGAGGGAGGGCTCTGTCCTGCTCGGGCCGGGATGCCTGGCCCCTGGGGACCCTGGGGGACATGCTGGAAGAAGTGGCGAAGGACACGTGGCCCTGCCAGCCCCAGATGCCGCACGGCCGTCCTCTCCAACAATATCCTGGTGCTGAGTGATGACTCACGCGACTCCAGCATCAGTGATTTTGTTGAAGAGGGCAGCTGCCAGCCTACCGACCTGCCTGCTGTGCCCCCAGCCCCACCCCACAGGCCCAGGACACGTGGCCCTGTAGCAATCTCCTGGTACAGACATGGGCTTTACGTGGGGAGGGACAGGCTGGGTTGGGCTCTGTCCCCACCCTGAGTCCTGAGCACAGGTGTAATATGGCAGGTATGGTACCATCTACCTCAGTACCCTGTGACCCCTCACACCCATGTGACCACCTGCCATGCAGACTGGGTCAGAGGTAGTACCGGGGGTGACCCCCGTGCTCTGCAGACCCTCCCGAACCCTGGGGCAAGTGGTGGCTCAGGTGAGAGCCCCAGCCCTGAGTGGGCGTGGCAGGGCTGGACCCTGAACCTGAACTCGGGCAGCCGGCCGGATCTCTGGGACACTCTAGGCCTCAGTTTCCCCATCAATTCCCGCCTCCTGGGGAGCTGAGGGTGAGGGTGTAGTAGGGCTGGGAAGAGAGGGTCCTGGAGGGAGTGCTCCTAGGGCAGCCCAGCAGGCTGCTGGCCCCAGAGAAGCGTGGACGGGTCTGGGGTGGGTTCCGGTGGGTTCTCCCCTCTCTCCGCCCCAGTCTTGTCTGCACTGGAACACGTGAGGTCTACACACAGTCCTGCCCCAGGTCTCGGGGCTGGGCACAGGGATAGGGCCCCGGGCAGGGGTGAGGGTGGCAGCGTCTCCAACACACCTTCCCACCTGGACTGTGAGTCATCCAGGTGTTGGCAAAGGACTCTTGTGGGGATGCCCCCCCACCGGCACACCCCACCGACCCTGCCTCTGCCCCTGCCCTGCCTGCAGCGACCTGGCCCTGCGGAACTGCCTGCTCACGGCAGACCTGACGGTGAAGATCGGTGACTACGGCCTGGCTCACTGCAAGTACAGAGTGAGTGGGGTGGGCTGGGCTGGGCTGGGCACCAGGGGTGGGGCCCGTGCCGGCAGGGGTGACCTGGCCCTGTGCCCGCAGGAGGACTACTTTGTGACCGCCGACCAGCTGTGGGTGCCTCTGCGCTGGATCGCGCCCGAGCTGGTGGACGAGGTGCACAGCAACCTGCTTGTCGTGGACCAGACCAAGAGCGGCAATGTGTGGTGAGTGTGGCCCTGGTGGGGCCATGGGGGCAAGGCCGAGTGTCACCCGCCCACCTGTATCAAACCATGGCCACAGGGAGTGAGGTCGTGGGGGCTGCTGGAGCCTCCTGTGGTGGCCACAAGCCAGCGGCCCAAGTGGCTGGTTGGGTGGCAACCCCAGACAGGTGGAGATACCACCCTGCCAGGGTGTACCAGAGACCCCTGGGCTGACACCCACCCATCTATCCATAGCTAGGTCAGAGCGCACACACGGTCAAAAGGCCACTCTAAGCATTGCTGGGGGATCTGTCCTGGGCTAGGTGTCCTCACATGTACCTGTCCCTGGGGAGATTCTGGTCAGGCCTGCCGCTGGCTGCCTTCAGAGCAGTGTAGGTCAGGCTGTGCCAGGCAGAGGCGGTGACAGGGCAGGGGTGCTGGGATCTCACAATTGCAGCCTGGAAGCCCCCATCCTGAGCGCCCAGCCTGGAGCATTCATTCACACCTGGTGTAGCCTTTGGATCCAGCTGCGCAGGGATTGGTCTCCCGGGGGCGGGCACCCTTCCTGCCCTCACCTACCTCTGCTGCTCCCCCTCTCCCAGGCTTTGGTCTGGCCGCCTTCTGCTCCTGGGGAACTCTCAGAGTTTGGACCCACAGGCCAGGCCCCTCCCTAAGCCACTTGACTGTGCCCCATCATGACACTGCCCCTCCTCCCATCCTCACCTCTCCACAAAGGTACCCTTCCTGGCCTGCCCACCGCTGGGGTCTCGTCACAGGGCTCTGGCCAAGGCCACCGTGATGTCTTGGCAAATCACCTTTCTTACCCTGCAGTCTCTCGGGATAGCCAGGGCCCAAAGCAGCCAGGGGAGGCCACAGCCCCTGGCGAGGAGACCCCCGCTGCCATACCCGCCTGCGTGCTCGGTGTCCCCCTGCCTGTTCCCCTCCCTGCCCATGCTTGCCTGGCACATCTCCTCCCTCCCCTCCCTCAGTCCCCTGCAGGTGTGGGCCCTGCCCTGTCCTTTTTCAGGCTTCATGCCTGCCCTCCAGCTCCCCCACCGAGTAGTGTCTGGCCTTCCGCGTGCCAGTGAATGAATGAGTGGATAAGCAGGTGGGGTGGCCAACACGGCCTTTCTCTGCAGGCTCCACAGCTGCTGGGCTTGGGCTTGGCCCTCAAGAGTTCTCTCTGCTAAAAGGAGGGGCTGCCCTGGGGAGGGGCGGCTGGGTGGGTACCAGGCCCTGGTCCTGAGGCACTGTATGATGGCGGGAGCTGCCCCTTCGGTGCTCTGGGGGGTCCTGTGTGGCCCTTGCTGTGGCAGGCTGTGCCTGGCCCCGGCTCACAGCTGTCGCCCCGCAGGTCCCTGGGCGTGACGATCTGGGAGCTCTTTGAGCTGGGCGCACAGCCCTACCCCCAGCACTCGGACCAGCAGGTGCTGGCGTACGCGGTCCGGGAGCAGCAGCTCAAACTGCCCAAGCCCCAGCTGCAGCTGACCCTGTTGGACCGCTGGTGAGGGCCCCACCGCCTGCCCCGGACAGCCAGGCCGAGATAGGTATCCTGATTCCCAGGTAGAGATTCCCAGGTAGAGGGGGCTCACCCTGACCCCCTGGATTTCCAGCCCTCCCTGGCCTCCCCTGCCCTCTAGTAGGGCCTCCACCTGCCACCTCTGCACCCCTGTGTGCAGGGAGGGAAGGCCGAGGGAAGTGCCCAGCCCAGCTCCTGCTCCCACGCTGCTGGGCCTGCTTTGGCAGATTTGGGGCATCACCGAATTAAGTGGGAGATGTCCTTAATGCCCCCAAGGCACTGGGAGTTAGGGGAACCCCATCCCTGCCCCCCCCTACGCGTTCCCGTCAGCGGCTCCTCTGACGCGGCCCCTGCGGGACCTCCTCGCAGGTACGAGGTGATGCAGTTCTGCTGGATGCAACCAGAGCAGCGGCCCACGGCCGAGGAGGTGCACCTGCTGCTGTCCTACCTGTGCGCCAAGGGCGCCACCGAGGCGGAGGAGGAGTTCGAGCGGCGCTGGCGCGCTCTGCGGCCCCGCGGGGGCGGTGTGGGGCCCGGGCCCGGTGCGGCGGGGCCCGCGCTGGCGGGAGCGGTGGAGCTCGCCGCCGCCTCGTCCTTCCCGCTGCTGGAGCAGTTTGCGGGTGACGGCTTCCACGCGGACGGCGACGACGTGCTGACGGTGACCGAGACCAGCCGAGGCCTCAATTTTGAGTACAAGTGGGAGGCGGGCCGCGGTGCCGAGGCCTTCCCCGCCATGCCGAGCCCGGGCCGCGCCGCGCGCCTGCAGGAGCTGTGCGCCCCCGACCCTGACGGCGCGCCCCCGGGCGTGGTGCCAGTGCTCAGCGCGCACAGCCCCTCGCTGGGCAGCGAGTACTTCATCCGCCTGGAGGAGGCCGTGCCCGCCGCTGGCCACGACCCCGACTGCGCGGGCTGCGCCCCCGCGGACCAGGATAACGACTCTGACGGCAGTGCAGCCGCCTCGCTGGCCACGGAGCCACTGCTGGGCCATGGGCCGCCCGCCGACATCCCCTGGGGCCGCGGCGACCACTACCCTCGCAGAAGCCTGGCGCAGGACCCGCCCTGCCCCTCAGGCTCGCCTTCGCCCTCGCCCTCGCCGGGGCCCATGAGGCTGGCAGAGGGCGGAACTGAGGATGCAGACTGGGGCGTGGCCGCCTTCTGCCCGCCCTTCTTCGAGGACCCACTGGGCACGTCCCCCTTGGGAAGCTCGGCGGTGCCGCCGCTGCCGCTGCCCGGTGAGGAGGAGCTGAAGGAAGTGGGAGTGTGCACGGCCACCCAGCGTGGACACTGGCGTTCCAACGTGTCCGCCAACAACAACAGCGGCAGCCGCTGTCCAGAGTCCTGGGACCTGGGCTCCGCAGGCTGCTACGCTGACGGCTGCCCCAGCCCAGAGCAGACCCCAAGGGCCTCCCCAGAGCCTGCGGACCCTGGGGAGCCTCTGCGTGGGCTGCAGGCAGCCTCCTCTGCCCAGGAGCCAGGTTGCTGCCCCAGCCTCCCCCATCTATGCCCTGCCCAGGGCCTGGCACCTCCTCCCTGCTTGGCCACTACCTCCTGGACAGAAGCAGCCGGTAGTGGGGGTGACCAACCCCAGGCAGAGCCCAAGCTTGCTGCAGACGCTGAGGGCACTGCTGGACCCCGCCTGCCCCTTCCCTCTGTTCCTTCCCCATCCCAGGAGGGTGCCCCACTTCCCTCGGAGGAGGCCAGTGCCCCTGATGCCCTGCCTGACTCTCCCACGTCTGCTGCTGGTGGCGAGGTGTCCGTCACCGAGCCGGCTTCTGCCCTGAATGGCGGCAACAACTCCCCCAAGGCGGAGGCGCCCAGCAGTGAGGATGAGGACACGGCTGAGGCCACCTCGGGCGTCTTCACCGACACATCCATCGATGGCCCGCAGGCCGAGAGGCCGGATGCAGGGCCAGCCTTCCGCTCTTTGCAGAAGCAGGTGGGGACCCCTGACTCCCTGGACTCCCTGGACATCCCGTCCTCAGCCAGTGACGGTGGCTATGAGGTCTTCAGCCCATCAGCCGCCGGCCCCCCTGGAGGGCAGCCCCGCGCGCTGGACAGTGGGTATGACACGGAGAACTACGAGTCCCCCGAGTTTGTGCTCAAGGAGGCGCAGGATCCTTGTGAGCCCCAGGCCTTTGGGGAGCTGGCCTCGGGGAGTGAGGGCCCTGGGCCCGAGACGCGGCTCTCCGCCTCCCTCAGCGGCCTCAGCGAGAAGAATCCCTACCGAGACTCGGCGTACTTCTCAGACCTGGAGGCTGAGGCCGAGGCCACCTCTGGCCCAGAGAATAAGTGCAGCGAGGACCAAGCTCCCGAGCCAGAGCTGGGCCTGCCGAGCGCTGGGCAGCCGTCTATGCAGGCCTCTCTTGGGCCTGGGGTTCCCGGGGAGGCGCTGTCCCCACCACTGCGGCTGGGGGGGTCCTTCCCAGAGCCCAGCACCTGCACCTCCGGCCTGGGCCCAGAGCCTCTGGAGCGCCAAAACCCAGCCGAGGTGCCGCCTGGGCCCAGCCGCTCCCAGTTTTTCCTGCTGACCCCGGTTCTACTGAGCTCCGAAGGCGACAGCTCACAGCTCCAGGGGGCCCCAGGACTGTTGTCAGGGCCGGCCCCGCAGAAGCGGATGGGGGGCCCAAGCGCCCCCAGAGCCCCACTCCGCCTGGCTCTGCCCGCCCTCCCTGCGGCCTTGGAGGGCCAGCCGGAGGAGGAAGAGGAGGACAGTGAGGACAGCGACGAGTCTGACGAGGAGCTCCGCTGCTACAGCGTCCAGGAGCCCAGCGAGGACAGTGAGGAGGAGGCGCCGGCCGTGCCCGTGGTGGTGGCCGAGAGCCAGAGCGCGCGCAACCTGCGCAGCCTGCTCAAGATGCCCAGCCTGCTGTCTGAGGATTTCTGCGAGGACCTGGATCGCAAGAAGAAGGCCGTGTCCTTCTTCGACGACGTCACCGTCTACCTCTTCGACCAGGTGGGCCGCCGCTGCCTGGGGTCTGCCCGGGGCTGGGGGTCACGCTCCTGCAGGATGAGGTGGGGGCGGCCGCGGCTCCTGGCGGCCGAGCCACCTGGTGTTCTCTGATCCCTCCAGGAAAGCCCCACCCGGGAGCTCGGGGAGCCCTTCCCCGGCGCTAAGGAGTCGCCCCCTACATTCCTTACGGGCAGCCCCGGCTCTCCCAGCGCCACCGGCCGGCAGCAGCGGGCTGATGACGGCTCCCCCCAGGGCTCCACCGCTGGAGAGGGTGAGCAGGGGCGGGGCTGGCCCGTGACGTCATGGGAGGCGGGGCCTAGGCCCGTGGCGTCATGGGAGGTGCACCTGGCCCGCGGCGCGCAGGAGCCCGCGCTATCGTGGAGGCGGGCTGGACCCGTGACGTCATGGGAGGCGGGTCCAGTCCGTGCAGCGTGGGAGGTGGGGCCTGGGCGTGTGACGTCATGGGAGGCGGGGCTAGGCCCACGTCCCCAGGCTGCAGGCGTCAGTTACGCAGTGACTCGGGTTGCAGGTGGCGGGTTCACGTGGGACGATGACTTCCCGCTGATGTCAGCCAAGGCAGCCTTTGCCACGGCCCTGGACCCGGCTGCGCCCGCCCCTGCCACGCCCTCGCCCTTCTCGCGCTTCACGGTGTCGCCAGCGCCTGCATCCCGCTTCTCCATCACGCACGTGTCCGACTTGGATGCCGAGTCCGTGAAAGGTGAGGCCTGGGCGAGGCTGCGGTGGAGGGCCGCGTGCGAGGCAGGGCACAGAGCTCCGAGGGTGGGTTCCCTCCATCTGGGTCCCGGGCCGGGCCAGCCCCTTCCCTGCCCCAGACGAAGTCTGGACCCCACCTGGCCCTCAGGCGCCTGCCTTCCCCCTTCCAGCAGGACCCTGGGTGCCTGTACCCGGCTCTCCTGCTTGACCCTACCCCCTAGATCTGCCGCAGCCCCTCCCACAAGAACCTTCCCAGCCAGAAGCCCCGGCAGACCGAACCATCCCCAACCCGGCAGGTGGAATCCTGTTGGAGGCCTGAGCCACCGCTCCCAGCCACGCCCCTCCATTGTCTGCTTCAGCCCCAGGATGGGTCATCTCTATCAGGTGTCCCTACGGGTGCAGCCCCTGCCCACATGCCTGATGCATGACATTCCCACCCCCTCGGAGAAACCCCGGCCATCTTCCACCCCTCCCAGACCCACCCTTCCCTAGCTACCCTGTCCTGTGGCTGCAGCCTTAGGGGACAGGTGGACCTATCAGCCTCGCCCCTGGTGTGGGGTGGCCTGTGTGTGGCTGAGCAAGCAGGCAGGTCATCAGGCCACTGCATGACCTTGGTCATCCCCTTCCTGTTCAGGCCTAAGAGAACTTGGAGGCATCAGCTGAGCGTTGTTGGCCTGGGTACAGTGATGCGGGAGTAGGAGAAATGGGTCCACTTGCCACCTAGGCACAGCCAGATCTGCTGCAGGGAAGGGGGCCTGGCCGGCCTGTATGTGGGCCAGGGCTGGAGGCCAGGTGGGAGCCGTGGGCTCTCAGGACACTGTGTTCACTTTGTTGTCCTCCTTGCCAGGCCCTGCAACAGGTGCCGTGGGCGAGAGTAAAGAGGCTTGAGATGCAGGAAGCTCCCGCCCCTCGAGGCTGGCATCACCAGAGCCCCTGCCAGGCAGCAGCAAAGATGGTGACTGGGAAGGTGGGGACCATGTCCTGGTGGCAGCACATTCGGGTGCCTCTGCATCACGCTGTGTCCTGGAGAAGCCGGTGAGCTGAGAGGCCCTGGGCCCTGGGCCCTGGACAGATTGACTATGCTTCGCCCTGGGGGCAGAATTCGCCGGCATTTGGGTTTGCTGCTAGCCCCTGGGGGTGCCTGGAGCCACAGTGGGTGTCTATACACACACACTCTCTCAAGAGGGGCCAGTGCCCCTGGGTGGCCCCCACCCTGTCTGCTGCTGGGGCCGCCTGGCCTTGGGCGGCTCCTCCAGTGTGCTCACAGGACAAGGCACGGGCAGGCTTGGGCCTTCCCCCCTCCCTGTCCCCGCACCGAGCCTCTACTCTTGCCTGGTTCCTGGTGGCTCATGGCAAGGAGCAGCCCTGGATGCCCGTATATCAGTCCTGTCTCCGCTTCCCGTATCTCAAAATCTATGGCTGTTTTCCCTTCACTGACTCAGCTAGCCCATGAGCCACCTTTCCCCCAGGGAATGTGCTGCTCCCGCCTGGGCCCTGCTGTGGTCATGGTGGGATCGGGGTGGAGGGGCCTTCGGGCTGCACTCCTGCCTCAAAGGCCCTGTTCTAGAGGTGCCATTGGCAGGACGGTGTGGGCAGCTCTCCTCTGCAGGGCACTGCCTGGTCCTGTCCCCCAGCTGCCAAAGGAGAATAGGGCCATACCCCGCAGTCAGGGTTGGGGGCTCCTGCCTGCGGGGAGAGGGCTGGTGGGGAGGGCTAGGAGCTGGGCCTGGCAGCACAGGGAATATTTTTGTAACTGCTGTGGTTGGAGCGAGTGGAAATGGGATGATTTAAAGTTACTGTTGCCAAAGAGATGTCAGGTTTTTGCTGCTTTGCAGGGGACTTGTTTTCGTGTTTTGTTTGAGGCTTAGGATGCTGGTGCAATGTTCTCTTGTTCCTTTTTTGTTTTTTAAGAGAAATGAAGCTAAGAAGAAAAAAAAAAGCCTTTGTGTGTTTTCTTCTGAGGTCTGCAGATGATAGATAAAAAGTCCTGAACAGGTGGGGCTGTGCCTTGGCTAGGGTAGGAACCCACCCCTCCCCTCACTGTCCTGGGCAGCCCTGGTGGAGAGGACGGTTTTCTGGCACTACCATGCCCAGGCACCGGGGCTGCAGACCCTGCGGGTCTCCCTTGCTGCCCGCAGAACTGGCCTGGTAGGGACAGGAGGAAAGAGGAGAGCCACAAGCCTCTCGGGACGGCCTCCTCCCTGCCCTTCGATGTCTGTCCCTGGGCCCAGAGTGGATGTCGGAGGCAGGAGAGAGGCACAGCTAGGCCCCTGCACCCTCCAGCCGCCAGCTCTCAAGTGCTGTCCCAGCCTGCCGACCCCACAGCTTCCTGTCCGAGGGATGAGTGGCTGCAGGCGGGTTGGGGGCTCTAGAGCCCTTTTTCAGAGGGTCTGTGAGGAGCAAGCTCTGCTAGAGACCACTCCCCAGGTAAGAGTTATCGTCACCAGCGCAGCTCGCCACATTGTATTGCACCTGACAGTGTCGAAGAGCACAGATCTGATAATGAAGTTTTTTAAAATCACCAATTCCAACAGAGCTCCCCAGTGCCTGCGGGAGTCCTGGGGCAGAGCCTGGGAGTGAGCAAGCCCTACCTGCCAGCAAGTACCTGGCCAGTGACCCAGCACAGCACCTGACAGACACCCCACCTTTGGCCACAGGAGAGCACTGGGAGGCCCTGGCAGCCAGGCTCTGGATGGGAGCTCAGGCAGGGAGGAGACTGGGGCCTGCCCAGAGGCAGAAGGGGCCCAGGTAGGCCCCCAACACTGCCGGTAGGAGTGAGAGACCCAGGAGCGCCCCACCGAGGGGCATGGGGAGGGACCAGGCCCCACACGCCAAGCGCGGCTGCCGGGCCTACAGGGAGTTACGTGCTTATGGGACGTTCATCTTCCAGCCACAGGCTGTGGGCTCTCCCTCCCGGTGCTCCCAGCCTCCTAGCCCTTGGGTGGACAGACCACACCTGGTCCAGGAAGGGCAGCCTGTTTATTAAAGCAGAGAAAGCAGCATGGCAGCCAGGCTCCCCGCCCCCAGCCACCAGCTGGCCAAACAGCCTCCCTAGACCCAGGGGCAGCCCAGGGCCCCGGGGCTCCAGGGCCATGTGACCAGAGGTGTGTACCAAGAGGCAGCCCCTCAACCCTGGGCAGTGCAGCCAATGGGTCTTGGCCTCTCAGGGGCCTGTGCCGCATTCTGCCTGGCCCTGCCCAGAACAGCTGGGACCCAGCCCAGACCAGGCTCAAGTAGAGCAGGCCAGGCAGCAGGGGCTGGGTGCTCCCTAAACAGGCACGCACAGTGACGACAGAACAGGCTACATGGGAGGGTGGTGGGAAGGCCGCCGGATGGGCAGCGCCGCAGACGTGGCCATCAGCTGAGGAGGGGGGCAGACCTGTCGTTGGTCACCGTTGGCTTCAGCTGGACGTGGGCAAAGGGATTCCTGAGAGAGAAGAGAGAAAAGTGGTTTTAATTTCGGGAAGGAGTCATGGGTGAACTGTGCCACCCGGGCGGCCCGATGCCCCCAGGGATCCCCATGCTGGACCCCTATGGTCCAGTCTCAGGGCACAGAGCTCATAGACAAGCTGCTTTGGCGTACAGGCAGAGCCAGGCGCTGTCTGCAAGGCTGCCTCACCCCGAGCTCCACCACCCTCTGCTCACCCTATGTGCCCTAGATGAGGCAGGGTGCCCCCACCCCGATCCATCACCCTCCCAGTAGCGTGGGTGGGCAGGGCAGCTGCACCCTCCCAGTGAGGGGTGGATATCACCACTGAGGCTGGAGACTCAAGACAGCCCCAAAACGGGCGCACATCAGTTTGGTGGCCCTCCTGCTAGGCCAGGCCCAAACCCAGGGACACAGCTTGGCAGAGCGCCCAGCCCTGGCACGGGGGCATCCAGAGGAAGGCAAGTCAGGCTTGTGGCACCCACAGGGCTGCAGATGGACACCTGTGGCCCCTGCAGAGCAGCTGGCCAGCCCAGGCCTGCTGATGGCTCACTCAGTCAACTGTACCCCAGGGGTGCTGCCCTCCTCTACATCCCCAGGGCCACAGCTGATGCACAGATAGGACTCAAGACAAGAAGTTGAAATGGAACAAGATGAGCACGGATGACGGGGCTCCTAGGCCTTTCTCTCTGGAGTCCCCACCCCTCAGGCAGGGACAGCACAGGCAGGATGGGGGTGTCAGGCAGCTCCTAGGGCGACAGCACAGATGGCACATGGACATGAAGGCGCAGTAGGCACAGGACTGTGCTCTGGCAAAGCTGCGTTCAGACTCTTGAGCCGTTACCTGGAGTGGAGTCACCTCTGGCACAGCTGCGTCCACAGGAGCCCAGGCAGCCAGGAGCAACCCTGGGGCGGGCAGGCAGGGCTCTGTCCGGCTGCCCAGGAAGACGCACAGGGCGGGGGCGGAGCCCTAAGCTTTCCTGAGGACTGTGTTTTCTAAGAACCTGAAACACTTTGGACTGTGAGTTTTTAATAAAGTATGCGCAAGAGACTGATGGGTCTGTGGAGGGCTCTGAGACTCCCACATGGCATCTAAGCATTGGCACCCCACTGAAAGGCTCTTTTGATTTACTGTCAATGAGCTGGAGCCTCAGGGTATGCTGGATCCCCGGCTTCCTTCAGCTTTGATCTGCGCAGCTTCTCGCCTTCAGGGGGCCTGGGTGGGGGGGGGGGCTGGGTAAGGGCTGCCTGGGGCACGATGGTGAGGGCTCCACCTCCATTAGTGATGTCTGTCCATGCCCTGCCTCCCTGCCAGGTTAGACTCACTCCTAGGGAAGTGCTCTATGGCCCGAGTCTCCACCCAGGCCCAGCGTCCGGAGGGAGCTCTGGCTGGGCATGGTGGCTCCTGCCTGGAATCCCAGCACTTTGAGAGGCCAAAGCAGGAGGAACTACTTGAGCCCTGGAGTTCGAGACCAGCCTGGGCACAAAGTAGACTGGTCTCTGCAAAACTAAGAAATAAAACATTAGCCAGGCGCGGGATAGTGGTGCATGCCTGCGGTCCCAGCTCCATGAGGCTGAAGTGGGAGGGTCGCCTGAACCCAGGAAGTTAGGGCTGTAGTGAGCTGTGTTCCCACTGCTGCACTCCAGCTTGGGTGACAAAGTGAGACCCTGTCTCAAAAAATAAAAAAAGAAATGTGGAAATGCAGCTCGCACAGACCAGAGCCAAGGGCAGTGCGGCCAAGTGGTTCTCACTCCTGCCCTGACTCACACCCCATTCTCATCAGAAAGTCAGCAGCAAAAGCACATGGGCTGGCGGAACCACTGGAGAGCTGCAGGGTTAGGACGTTCTCCCACCGCTGCAGGCTGTTCCCTAACCTGGATTTCTTCTCGTCTCCCAGAACACTGGGACCAGGCGGAGCGTGCTGAACCGTCCACACTGGTGGCTGAGGACCCTGGGGCTGGGGCTGCAAATACTGTGTCCAGTCTCAGCCTGACAGGGGCAGAGGGGTCAGCGGAAAGGGGAGAGCGCAGGCCAGAGCCTGCCAAGGCTGGCTGGGACAGCAGGCCCACATGGAGGGGCTGGATGTCCCTGTTTCCCCAGCCCAGGTCGCCACCCCCAGCCGTCTGGGAAAGATACCCAAGAAGCTTGTGGGGAGCTCAGCTGTGCGGAGGGTGGGAGCCTAACTGAGCCAACAGGATGCGACCAAGTTCAGAGCCCAAGGCCGCTGCAAGGTCACTGTGCACAAGCCACAGACACTGGTCCCTGCCAGAGGACACGTGCCAGGCCCTACCTCCTGTAGGACACGGCCCTGGGCAGCGAGTGCCTCGAACTACCCAGTGACAGCACCAGCACCTCTCACTAAGTACCCAGTGACAGCACCAGCACCTCTCACCAACTACCCAGTGACA